GACCCCGCCCCCCCCCCCCACGGATAAACGGCCGGCCTTCTGCGTTTTCTGGGGCGCCCCCCCTAATTTTTATCCATATTCTTCTGCGTCTTCTGGGGCGGCCCCCCAATTTTTATCCATATATCATATGACGATTCCCAACTTTTAAAGGGACCCCGAGACGGAGTTAATTCGAGACTTCCGCACGTGACACGGCCAGGTGGTCCCAGGATCCGATGCTCTCCAACATCCCCCAGCGGCGCCTGAACTTCCGCCGCAGGCGCGCGTCGCGCCTCGCGACGGCCGCCCTCGCGACGGGGCTGCGAGGGGATGGAGGGGGAGCCCAAAGGACCTGTTCTTGTCTTATGTGGGCTCCCTGGCGGGAGCTTCAAAGGGGGGGGTGGTCTTTTGCGGGGGGTGGGGTGGTGGCTCGTTTTTTCTCCGGTGAGGGCTGTTTTTCCTTTTTTTGGGCTTGGTTTGCTTGGTTTGGTTGGTTTGCTTTGGCTTGGCTTTGCTTGGTTGGTTTGGTCTGGTTTGGTTTCGTTTGGTTGTTTGATCGGTCGGTCGGTCGGTCGGTTTCTTTTTGGGTTTGCCAATTGGAAACCAGAGGAACCGTCAAGAAGCTGACCAGACCCCTTTGAACACAGATAGGAAGGTTGTTCAAACAAGATGGTGCCTTTTTATCGACCTCGCACTGGGGTCCCAAATCAGGAAGTTGTCTTTTTCCAGCCCACATATTGATACCTTGGGCTCCGTACATACAAGACTACATGACCGGTTGTACATCGGTTGTAGGGGTCAACCAAACACATCCCTTTCGATGCTTTTGGGGATTTTCACCCCAAGCACAGAAGCTCATTTGGGTTTGCCTGAAACTGGATGCGAGCACATGGGGTCCAAAGGAATGGGAGCCCTTCAACAACCCCAGCAGTACCAACTGCAACACAAGACGCATCTCCAATCCGAAGAGCAGAAGTTCTCCGAGAGACAGTTGGAGTGGCATTCTTTTTCGCCGTAATACAGGCCACATGGCAACCAGACATATCCTGTTCCAAGTTCTGCCGCATGAAAAACGAATAACTCGTGACTGTCGGGTTTTTTGAAGCAATCCCTGAGAGCCACCCTAGGTTCAAAGGCTGAATCAACAAGAAACACGATATTACTCGAACCCCCCTGGTTTCTGCCCCCCTGGTGTTGCTGACATCCTGGCTTCTGACCCCCTGGTTTCTGACCGCATCGCTTCTGACCCCTCCCTCCGGACTTCTGTTGGCCGCGCACGGCCAGGAGCCTGGCGCAGGAGCTGAGCTTCCTGCGCTGCGGCCCGGCGCCGGCCCCGCTCCCAGGCCGCCCCCAGCGCCATGCCTCACGCGGGGTTTGGGGGGGGGGGGTCCAAGGGAAACCAAGGGGCGTGGGGCAGCGAAGTTTGGCCGGGATGTTCTCTTTAAAGGCAAGCTCATATGGGTATGGGTCAAAATTTACCCACCAGGGGACCGCAGGTTTTACTCTCTCTCTCTCTCTCTCTCTCTGTGTCCCTCTCTCTCTCTCTGTGTCTGTCTCTGTCCTTCTCTTTGCCAAACCTATGGACACTCTCGCGCACGATTTCAATTGACAACCATCATATACCACGCTGAAGAGACCCATTTTTGGAGGGCCAGCAACAAAACGGGGGACCTGCCACAAACGCCACGGAATGAGATCCAGTTTGGTCCTTACTCAATTGTACCCACCTCATTTGACTGAGGTCGAGGAGGTTCCTCCAGTACCAAGCTCCGACTTGAAGATGGACTGGGACGACACGAGCGCCTGACTGAGCGAGCTGGCAGGACCGGGGGTACAGGTGGGCTAAAAGGGAAGCCAAAAGAAAAACCTTTTATTGGCTCTCCCTATTTTGAGACATACTCAGTTGGTAGCTGAGCAAGGCGCCAGAGCCAACCAGCTAAAAGTTGACATGTTCTCCTGTGGGTCAATTTGTCAATGGGTCAAAGACCGCCCCAGCGTTTCTTCGGACTGTTGACATGGGCTTTATATATTTCGATCGCTGAGGTCTTCGGTCCAATCCCACGGGGGGACAAACTCAGAGACAGCTGTTGGCACAGCTTGATTGAGCCGTACGTGCTTGTGTCGGGACATCCCACAAGAGAACGATGTTCCAACTCGACTTTTCCGGTGTTTGCCTTTGGCGGTCTCCTAGCTCGGGAAACAAAGGCCCACAGCAACATGTGGATGTGGGTCAAAACGAATGGTACCATGTCGGGGTAGGTGCACCACCCATTTTGGAGCCTATTTTAGCGGGGATTGGGGGGTACCTATTTTTCACCCACAGCAACATGTGTCTTCACCCCTGCAAAATGCATGTTGACTGTATCAAGTTGAACACGTCAGAAGCTGAACCTGGAGTTCTTGATCTTGTCGTGGGTGTGTCGTATTTGAGGGGACCTCCCTCCAAAAAACAAAACAGAAGCAAAGACAAACACGCTACAGTGGCTTGGACACCTGGTGGTTTCCCTTCAAACCACCCCCAAAAAAGCCCCCCCCAAAAAAAAAAGAAAGACGCACCTGGGACTGACTTACGGCGCTTGGTTCCAACCACCGGACTGGGATCTGTGTCCGGACGGCGGGGCGCGGCTCGGTCCTGCGCCAGTGATGTGACAGGGACAAATTTTGGCGCGGCCTCTGCACCTCACTTCCCGAGTTCTTGGACTTTGATTTCTTTTGGGGTTGGACCATCTGAGTGCTAAACCAAGAGTTTGGCCTTTTTTTCCGGGCCGTCTACGCAGGAAGCGAGTCACCTCTTGAAGGTTTAGCTTCTTTTTGAGGTCGTTGTCTCACATGCTTGACTCGAAGGATTTTCTTGAACAGCCTTGATTGTGTGCACTGCACTGGTGGAGTGTGTTTAGGGTCATTTCCATGCTAGCCTCCAGTTTTAAAAGCTTTCATTCAAATGCACGCCGAATTCCGAGCTGGTTCTTGCGCCAGCCAGCATGTTCAAACAGGAAAGCCACCTGCGACCCACCCTGAGGAAAATCAAATGCAGGTTCTGCAGAGCCTTCGGAAGAACCGCTCTCATACTCCCGCGTCGCAGGAGCTATGTCGCAGATTTCACAAGGTTGCGATGGGCCGATGTGATGAGCGCAGAACCGCACACCCCGTGCTTTGAAATCTGGTTTGACACGTTTCATCACCATTCTGGACCTATTTTGGTTTTGGGGCAAAAGCCGCAGATGAGGTTGACTTGCAGTGAGCGGCAGCATGTTGCCGCACACACGAACAGGAACAGCTGTGTAAAAGTTGGTCCCTCCGTGGACTGAGGGACTTTGCCAGAAGGCCTCAGAGGCAATCCAAATTTGTAGATTCCCGTTCGGCACTTGGCGCTGCACGAAGTGCCAGCGCCAGGGCCAGGGCCAGCTACTCCCCCGGCCGAAAAGCGAAAGGTGGTTGGATCACCTTCCGTGGATTTGCGGTATATGTCCAATGTTTAGGCAGTGAATGGGGAGCCAAGAGATCGATTTGACCAACAGAGAATCATTTGCGGGCAGCCAAGAAATTCTGCTGCGCTGATGCGCGAATGAGTACTTACAAAATCCATTGGCTTTCGGTTTTCACTAGACAAAGCCCTATACATGTATCAATCTCAAGCTGGGCACTTGGAGGCTCTTAGGGGACGTTCCCATCCATAAACAAAGACGGCTGCGATTGTGATCCCCGAAATGGTGTTGGTCCCAAGCTCGGAGTAGCTTAGGCGCAAATGAATTCTGCGCCTTTTCTCTTAGGCGATTTCGCCCAGAGATGCCTAAACCACGAGGAGCAGATGGAAGTCTGTGTGCCAACTGAGTTTTAACAGGGCCAGGTGGCAGGGGAGCAGCTTCCCGGATCCTTCAAGAGGATCTGGAGCGCCGCTTGGCGCGGCGGCGTGTGAACCGCGCGGCTGAGCACTTGGCTGTGCGGGTCGAAGCAAAGCGCGTGGCGGTGTGTTTCCCTTGATCTGTTCACGCTCACCCAAAGAAAACTCAACTTAAATTGGGTCTAAAGATAAGTGTTTCAGTCCAAGGGACATATAATTGGAACCTCGCGCATCAACTTTCATCAACCCCGAGGGTCTGGCCCGCTTTTGGCTTCCATGTGGCAGCACTAGTTGGCCTCACTCGAGATGTGTCACCCGACTCACCAAAGTTGGCCGATCTAAACGGGTTCTAACGTGCTACACACATAGTTGTCAAGTGATGCAGGCTTGCCTTTTGGTATGGCTTTTCGGGCACTCCTTCAGCATCTCGATGAAACACCACCGACTTGCGGTTGGGTGAAATTAGCTGGCGCAGTTCCGGCAGTTTGGTTGGATAAATTTGCTACTTACCAGAAAGGGAATCGCGTCATCTACTTTTTTGTTTGTCCTCCAAGAGGAAGCACTTTTCACCTCATCTCTAGGGTTCCAAGGGTGGTTTCAAACATCACCTTTCCGGCTCCTGTAAGGTTGAAGGGGAAATGTTTGTGAAGCCTCCATCTTCGGGTCCAATTTCTCACATGGTTGTATGGTCATGAAATTGCATAGGGAACCGTCTCAGAAGTGGTTGGTGCCTCACCGAAATATTGACCACCAAAGGGTCCTTTTGGACCCATTAAACATCTTACACACATAGGCGTCTTTTTTTAGGGGCACCCCAAATGGTGGTTTCCTTATGGATCCCTTTCAAAACCTACCCAAAAGGGTACCCTACACACTCATATGGGTGTATGTTGTTTTACGGGACCCACAAAATGCATGGTTTTCCTGTTGGTTTCCTTTTCAAACATAAGCACAAGGGTACCCTTCCCCCCAAAACAAATAAAAAGGACCCCCCCAAAAGAAAATATAGAAAGCACAAAGAAGACACCGTCGTGGGTTTCCTTTGGGCTTCCCTTTAAATCCCCCCCCCTCCCCCCCCACAAAAAAAAACGGGTTCCCCCACAAAAATAAATAAATAATCGGGTTCCCCTACAAGAAGCAGACCCCTAGCGCCCAAGACGGGGTGACGGCCCCGCGTCAGCTCGTGGGCAACTCCGTGGGCCCGCGGGTGGTGGTGGATCCGCCCGGCTCCGAGTCACCCCCGAGGGTCAGGTCGGGTCGGGTCGGGTTGGGATGAGTGGGGGTCCAGCCTCAAAATGGGTTTGGCCGTTTTTTTTTTTTTGGTTTTTTTTTCTCCGAGGGACTGCCCGGGTTTTTTGGTTGGCTTTTGCAGGGAAACCAAAAGGAACCCAACCATTTTGGAGGGAAAGAGGTGGTCTCCTGTTGGTTTCTTTTTTTGGGTTCTCTTTGATTGAGGGTACCTTTTTCTTGCGTTGGCTTCAAAGGGAAGCCAAAACGAAAGCCACGAAAACAAGCCCCCCCCCTCCCGATTTTGAGACAAACCCGGGTGGAGACTTTTCCGGGCCCTAAGAATCTTGGTACCTCAAAATACGCCTTTTCGAGAAGCCCCCTTCAACGCTGCAATGATGCGCCGAGGGCTTCAAAAGCATTCAGAACGGGGTTTTGGGCTTTAAACTGGTAACTGGTAGGAGTAAACCATTAGTATGTATGTAGCCCCTGATCTTATCCTCCCTCCCACGTTGCCGAAGCTAACAAAATATCTTAGGAAAATAGCAGCCAACCCGACCTCCAATCAGAGGGCAGGGTATACCTCTGGATTTTGATTGGAGTCTTTGTCCTACTGATGGTTCTCTTGTTCGGTTTTTGTTCTACTTTTTTTCTACTTGTGTTCTTTGTGTCAACCAGAGGTTCCAATCACTTGTGGTCTCGTGGACTTTTCCTTTAATTTGAGGTGGGGGGTGGGGCTCGGCTGATCGCTCTGTTGCGAAGGGCACCCTGAAATTTGCGACCCACTGTTTGCCGAGTTTTGAGATGCGTGTTGCTCGGCCGCAAGTGGCAACATGAGATGAGAAGACTCGTTTTTGTTCTTGTCTCGGGTAACTGTGCCTGCGGTGCTTATCTCAACTTTTTGGGAGTGTCACTCTTGAATTGGTTTGGGTGGTGCCTTTCGGGTTTGTTTTCGTGCCGAAGTGGGCCGATATTTTCTCCATCGAGAAGGATTGATTCTCTTGGTATCAGACAAATTGAGGCAGTACTTTGTTCCCCTACACCCCTCTTCCCAAATGGGAAGTGGCACCTTGCAAAAGTCGTAAAGACCAGGTCCTCCCGCTTTGGCAGAGGAAGCCACTTTCAGAAAAGAGCGTATTTTCCGCCGCCCGATGCTTATTATTAAGGGGATTTTGGGAATCCTTTCTTCCAGGCGGACCCCTGGTTCCTATGGGGGGGTTTGATTGATCCGGGGTCAACATTATCGCTTTTTGGGAGCCCCAAAGTCAGCCTCAGGCCCAGCCTGGACTTTGGCGGCGTGAAGTGCTTGGAGCCGGTGACCAGGCCGGGGGGGGAGGGACGAATTGGTAAGCCCCAAGCTCGTGTGTCAAACCAGAGAACCCTGGAAAACCCACAGAATGGCTTCGGCTTTCCTTTTGGTTTCCCTTTGAAGCGACCTGACAAGGGTGCCCTGAAATCAACACGCCCCAGCACTAGTCCAAATCCAAATGGTCTGTATACGAACATGGGATTTGGACACACACTAGGGATTTAAACCCTGCCCAACACAACCAAACATGTCCCTTGCAGTTGGCATCCGAAGGCACGTTCGCCTCACCAACTTCTCCTGCATCGATGCCTCTGTGCGTGCCTTCATGAACGAGCGGAAGCCTGGGCCCCCAGTAGCAACAATCCGCTTTCGGAGCTGGGAGGCGGCAGGTAGGACTACGATTTCCATAGGCCGGGGCGAGGCGTTTTTTTTTTTTTTTTTTTGGGGGGGGGGGTTGTTTTGAGCCATTGACACATGCATATAAAGCGGATGAAAACATGAAACCCTGTGGAGGAAGAGATGGATCTGATCTGGAGATGAGCGACTTTGTTCACCCAGACATACCCGACCTCATTCGAGATTATGCGTGACACATCTTACTAGTAGTAGTACTGTTGGATGCTGTTGGCAAATGAACGGAACCACTAACGTTCGAAAGAGTACGGGGAGGAAAGGTTGCAGAGACCAACGCCAGGTCTTCTCAATTGTGCATGAGCTCGACCGCTTGCCTTGGGAAGCGAATGGGTGAAGGCAGTTCGTGTCAAGCTTGAACCGGTTTCAACCTGGTCCTTTCGCTCCTGAACCCCATGCCAACCTGCAAACTTGTTGTTTTTCGCTTGTGTTGTCAAATTCTGAATGCATTTGAAGTCATTGCATGACTTTTGCGTTACGTCTCGATCGAATTTTTATTTTGGGTCTGAAGAACTGCAATCAGATCCATCCGCCACAAGTAAGGGATTGGATCCATAGGTGTCAAAAGGACAGGTTCCGTTTCACTGGTTTAGACGGGGTTTGTGGCCCCACTTACCAGGGAAGCCCATCCATTTTTCCAAAGGGTCACTTATGATCTTGCTGGTGCTCAGCAGAAACTGACCGTTCCGGGCGTTGGGAAGGAACCTAGGGGTTCGCTTAAGGGAGGCCAAACCGTTCTTGTACGAAGCAGCATGTGATTGGATCGAGCCGTGACCCGCCAGAGCCACTCGTGGCTCGGAGGGCTCGCCTGAGGTCCTTGTGGTCAGTGCACCCCAAGGTCATTCACCTGTCGCCACAGGAGCGTCTCGAGGTTTAAGACTGTGTCTTGAATCGGGATTATACCCTCAACCACCAGGTGATTCGTTCCTTTAGGTCCTTTCGCACCCAAAGGGTCTTAGGTCCTAGACGCTTTGGGTGCGAAAGGATCTAAAGCTACGAATCACCTGGTGGTTGGGTAGAATCCCAGTTCAACACGCGATGGCTCCGATGGCTGCGGTTTGGCATTGGTAGTTAGTAGTGCCCCTTTGTTTGTTTCCGTTTATTTCAATGCAATCAAACACAAAAAAGGGGGCCGAACAAAGACGTTATGCAACAGGGTTGCATAATCCGGTGCGTCATTTTGTGATGGTCCCGTTTTGTTTGTTCACGATTTTAAGGTGGGGTTGTGGAAACCTGCTTTCCGGTATCCCTCAATTGGTGGTTTGGATTGGAACCCTTGGGTTCGTGTGGAGGGTAGATGGGACACCCCCTAAGCTCCAAGCCATCAATCCGAACCACCAACTAGATATGTGGGGATACAGCCCCGGAATCCTTCCTGTTGGTTTGCGGGCAACGCACGCCCTATGGGATGTGTGGGTATGGGTGTGTCTTCAAATAGGGGGATCCCCTAAAATGATTTTGGTTCCTGGTAAAAGCACAAACAAAACAGACAACAACAGGCAAGCAACAAAACCAACAAACAACACAAAAACAAAGCACAGCAACACAACAATTAACCAAAAACCAAAGACCAAAAAACACACAACACAGCACATAACACCAAACAAAGCAATCAACATCACCGGTCCCATAGGAGACGCTTCAACTGGCACTCACCGTGCGAATGGACGAGACCTGCCAAGCCGTGGCCGGGAAGCCAAGCGCGCGGCGCAGCCCCAGATTCGCATGGAACGGTCTTCATGTGCTTCACGGATGCCCTTGTTTGGGATTGGCTTAAAGGGACACCAAGCAGAAAGTCACAACTGTTGCCCCCCTTCAGACACACCCAAAACCCAGTTGAAGCGGGATCTCCTTTTGGGGGACTCTTTTTCTTTACTCCGCTTGAATTTCCAGCGGGGTAGCAATTCTAATCCCAGAATGTGAATGTGATCGCCCTCTGATTGCCATCTCATAAGTAGCTTGTGTACTGCTTCCTTGTTGCATTCAATGGCAGAAACTGCCAGAGGCCCATTTTAAGCGGGCACTTGAATTTCCACGGGACCGGCTTGGTGCTTGCTGACTGCTGCAAACTGCTTCTTTTCGGATAGGTTATGAGATTGACATTTGCATATCTTACAATTCACCAGGGTTTTGGGTTCGATTTGATTTGACCATTTTGGTATGTCGTGTGAAGACTCACTACTTGAGACTCATATCTCATTGCTCAGTTCCGCTTTTCAGTTTTTAGTTCAAAGGCTTCTTGCAATCGAACCCCCATCTTGTTTCAAGAAGCACCACATGTCATCTCCTCACACTCGACATGTCTTGGCGCACCAGGATCGAGGCCCACAAATCACAGTCCAGCCACATCTTTGGCCGAGGGTTTTTTGTAGGGGATCTCAACCTTCACGGTTGGGTTGGTGCATGTTGGGTGGTCGACGGGTCCCTTTATGGGAAACTCGGGTGAATCAGACCGTCCGCTTTTCAGGGCGGTGTTCCCAAGCAAAGTGCAGGTTCCCAGCAAAAAGGCGACACCTCCTACTACTGGAGATCAACCTAGGCTTCCAACTCCAGAATCCATGCCCTTCATTTGGGTGTGTACCTGCTGGTTTTTGGTGGTTTTCAAGGACAACTCAAAGGAACACAACCATTTCGGGGGCCGGTTCCCCAATACAAAAACAAGACACGCGAATCCATTCGCAGGGCCCCACACCTCGGTTCTGAGGACACGTTGAACCTCATCGTCAGCGAGGGGGATGACCTCATGGTCCAGGCACGGTCGAAGCATATCACTCGGTAGTGGTGGAGTTCGACCACTTAGTCCCTGAGTTCAGACGGACTTCGTACCTTTTTTGGGGAAGACACGCATCAAGCGGTATACGAACAATTCTGACTTTCTTGGGCCATTGCACTCAGGAAGCGAGACCATGCACTGGGTTTGTGCCATTGAACAGTGTTCCCTTTTTGGGACAGTCACAGAGGTCAGCTGGTGCAAACAGAATGAGCGTTGAGTGTCTAGCGATGTCTAGTGGATCAGCTACATGACTTCTACCATCCCTCTAGTCGACTCTAGTCCTATCTTTTGCTTCATGTTGGTTGCTCTTTGGTTTCTCCTTTGAGCCTGTGTCCCCTTGGAATCACCATGTTTTTCCACTGCCTAGCAACAAGTTTAAGTCTTCAAGACCAATCTACTTGCTGGTGCTCAGCAGGGAATATGGGAATGAACGTCTTGGGCTCCCCTTAAAGGAACCCACCAGTGGGATAGTTTATCAGGGTCATTCTCTCATTCCCTGCTGAGCAAGTCTGGCAATATTCCTCTACTGCTATTCGGTTGGATCTTTAGACTTTAACTTTGTGGATTCCCCTCACATTTCCTTTTCACCTTCTGCTGGGGGACCTACAGCACCCAACACTCCGTGTGGACGATGTTTGTTTCCCCGACCAACTTGGATCGCTTTTTCCGCCAGGTCCGCGCGAAGGGAGGCGCCACCCAGGCCGACACGCCGGTCACCTGCGACGAGGAGAGGTTGCGGGGGAAAAAGACCCAGGTGGGAATATGGCTGTGGTTGTCAAATCCGTTTTGGAATCCCATTTTGGTTGGTAGGTGCACCACCCATTTTAGAACCTATTTTAGTTGGGATTGAATCGGATGTTGACCGGGGGTACGATTTGGATTTTGACCTATGGCCATATCTTCCCGGTCCAACACGGAACCCGTCAGTATTGGATGCTTTGAGTGGAACTGATCCACCAGAACCCTGTCAGGTGCTATATTTGAGATGGATGGGTGCCCGGGCCTGCAGTGCCCCATACAAAACTTCCTGGGGGGTTGAGCTGCCATGGCCATGGGTTTGCCTCAAAACTCAAGGAAACTTGAAAGAAGGGGTTCTCAAACAAGGAGATGCCTATTTTGATCTGCAGGGTGGGTTTACCTGCGGATTGAAAAGTCTACAAGTACACCTCAAGGTAAACAGTATGTAGAGTGCATCTCTCTACATATATATTTTGTTAATGTTGAAACGCATGTGGAAACATGAACTGTGTGTGGAATGCTTGACCACAATGGCATGTGCCATTTTGGCTCAAGCATTGTTCTGGGTTCCTGGAACCCAAGCTGATTGAAACACTTTGATCTTTTGCACTCTCGAACATAACCCCGACCAAGCAATGGCTTCCTCGGCAACCTCGGCAACTTCCTTTGAGTTGATTGAGGACCAGACACTCACCGTGGAGGAGGTTGAAATGGCCAGCCAGGAGGCCCAGGAAATTCGCACACGGGAGGCGGCAGTGGCGGCCGGCTTGGTTTTGGACGAGCCCGAGGCCCCCCCGTCAGCTTCGGCGACCGATGTGATGAAGGACCTCTCCAGTGCACTGGAGCGTCTCCGAGTGGCATTTGCCACACCGACTCCCGGCTTGGGTGCCCCTGGCCCCGCCGAGGAGGGCGACGAGGACATGGGGGATGCGGACGGCACGGAGCGGGCCACACCACCGGAGGAGGCGCAGACGCCACCCACTAAGAGACTGAAGGGCTTCGTGGCAGCTTCTCAGAAGGCTACGTCTCAGGCCAACAAACCGGTCACCTTGGTGCCGGTGGACGGCAAACCCGGGTACTTCAAGCTGGTGGACCTCCCAGACCTGTTTCCAGTCCTTCCAGCGTCGGCGGCCACATTGCGTAGAGACATCACGATGGAGGAGGCGGTCTCCCTGTTTCACAAGTTTGTTGGGAAGAACCTCACGGAGGACCTGGTGATCCGCATCTTGGAGGCGTACGTCCCAATGAAGATCCAGCTCTGCCAGGAGGAGGTCTGGGCTTCGCAGTTCCAGAGGAACAAGGCGTGTATCGGCACCCAGCGCTTGCACAGGCTCGACGCAGGTCATTCCGACTACAAGTTCATGTGCAAGGCATGCGGAACGGGGTGGCCAGAGGAGCCAAGAGTGCTGGGTCTGCCCCGGCAAGGAGTTCGCCCCCTTCCAGGCACCCTCGGCCACCTATGAGGCGGACGGCATCACCTACAACCTGCTCATCTTGGAGGGCAAGCCGACCTGGATCCAGCAGCGGGAATGGGGAAGCCTGGGTGCCGCTGGCCCCGGTGGTACCCGGGCACAGGCCGACCGCAACTTGGTGGACGGCACGGTCTTGGGGAGAGCCCCTCCAAAAACGGACTCGGCGGAGGAGATCACCATGGCAGATGCGGTCCCGCTAAACAGGCGGGTGGACATCCGGCAGGAGATCCTGTCCATGGAGGCGGACGACGAGGCGTTGAAAGTCCGGGAAAGCCAGGAGATCAAGGTCAAAGTGCAGCGGTGGCGGAGGCTCAGAGCTTTGAGCTCTACCATCCCCAGGTGGACCAGGCGATCAGGAAGAAGGAGGAGCTGCATAAGGCCTTGCAGGAGCATCGGGAACCGACTCCGGAGGAGGCCTCGGCCAGACGGCGGCACAAGGAGTTGGTGAGGAGATGCTGGACAACGAGATGGCGATCCTGGCGCCCCTTCAGGAGGGCATGCAGGCCCTGCCGTCAGATGAGGTGGCCAAGTGCCCTCAGGAAGGTCAACCTGGAGCGTTTCAAGGCCAAGCTGAAAGATCAGTGTTTGGAGGGGAAGGGCGTTGACGCCAGCCAGGCATTGGCTGAGGCGATGGGCTCCATTCAGGAGGCTCAGGCGGCAAACAAGCGAACCCAGGACACCAACCAGGCATGGATGCTCAAGCCCTTGGAAGTGTCGGCGTGGCCGGATGATCTCAGGAAGGCCCTGGAGAGGGGCCTATTCTGCCCCCTGGCTGGATGACCCCGACGACATCCCCCCGGTGGGGGACATTAAGGAGAAGTATGTCCCCTACATCAGGATGCTCAGAGCGTCGCAGAACCCGTGGCACCAGGAGGCACTGCTGGAGGAGATGCCCGAGCTGGAGGCACCGGCCCCCCCCAAGGGTGCCACCGGCCCCGGGGGGGACCAGCCCATGTCCCAGCAGGACCTGGACTCTGAGGAAGGCAAGCTGTCCCTTATCCTCTGGGCAATGAAGCGGCACCAGGGTGAGCTTCGGATGTTTGGGGGGGTTTGGAAGAAGCACGCAAGCGGTGAGATCCCCCGGGGCGCTGACCGGCAGTTTAAGCTCGCGCCGGAGGAGCTCCTGGCCCTTGAGCGCAGGACTCACCCACTCACGTGCGAGCAGGACCACATCGACCCAGTCATCTACACGGCCTTGGAGATCCGAGCTCAGGTGAACCGGGGCGAGCGCCCGGCACCGGAGCAGGTGGTTGGTATCTTCTGGGCGAAGGGTGATGGGGTGTTTTGGACCAGACAGACGAGAACGTGGGACCTGCCGAGCCTGACGGGAGTGTACGCCCACAGGTTCACATTCAAGTATATCTACTCGGCCTGGACCACCTTCCCGTTGATTGTGAAGACGCAACGCCGGGGCCGCAATGCGGAGGGCTCGACCTTGGACAAGTGGATGGGCAACATTCTCCAGATGAGGAAGGAGGCGGTGCCCTTCCTGGAGAGCCTGGGCATCCCCAAGCCGCGCAGTAAGGAGGAGTGGAGTTACATCTTTAAGGAGATGGGGACATTCCTGGCGGCCAAGAATTTCATTGTGAACTGCCCGTTGCCCGTGATGGAGAGGCCACTCAGGGTGCCATAGGCCCCGTGGCTGCCTGGTCTCCGAAGGGATCACAGGCCACCAGTGCGAGAGCGCACACAGCAAGAAAAAAAGCCAATCCCACCAGAGCCACAGCGGAAGGCAGACAGAGTTGGGGAGGCCAGGACGGCCGCAGGTGGGAGGGGACTTCTCCAGGGTGCCACCGGCCCCGGAAGCCCCTCCACCGAAGAAAGGGAGTGGATCCAGCCAGGGCACTCCAGAAGGGCGGAAGCACCCTTTTCCCCCGCACCCACCGAGGCAGTGGGAAGAACCCCCAGAGAGACCCAGAGGTGGGGATCTGCCCGGCAAGGGGCGTTCCAAGGGCGGGCAGAAATGCCAGGGCAAGCAGCAAGCCCAGGGCCAGACGACCAGTGGGTCGGACAAAGGACACACGGAAACCTCGGGGGGGACAAGCCCCACCTTCCCCTGGATGCAAGACACCCCGGAAAGACTGAGGCGAAGACTAAGGTGGACGCCACGACCGGTGCCGGAGTCGTCGAAGCCGACCCTCATCCTGCTGTACGCTGGGAAGGACGACGCGGGGGCCCTGGATGCCTACCTCCATGCCTACAACCCGGCCTTCTCGGAGTACATTTGGGCAGTGGACATTAGGCGAAAGGGTGGCGATCTTGGACAGGACATGCTGGGAGACGAGCCATACTCTACAATGTGCTCCATGGCCATGGCGGGTAAGGTCGCCTTTGTGGGGGGCAGCCCCAACTGCAGAACGTGGAGCATTCTCAGATGGTTCCCCAAACCGGGAGGCCCGCCGCCGGTGAGGGGCAGGGTGGAGCAGACCCTGTGGGGCTTGGAGGACCTGGAGCCCCGGGTAATGGAGGACACGGACAACGACAGCGTGCTCATGCTCCGACAGATGTACCTGACCTCGCTGGCCTACCAAGGACTAGGCCAACGAACGGTCCCGCAGGTGGGCTCCTCCTCCCGATGGACTCAATGGAGTGCAGCGAGCGCAGCGAGGTGCTCATCGACGTCGATCTGGGTCACACGGGCCTACATTCAATGGGCGAACGCACTCCACCACTCCCTCATCAAGTTTGACGAGTGCCGCCTGGGCCAGGTGGTAGTGAAGTCCACGACATTGTCAACGGACCTTCCCCTTCACCAT